TAAACTTATTTTTTTTTTTTTATGGTGGTTATAAAGTTGGTCAAATTAACAAAATTTATAAAGATTGAGTAGAGAAAATAACATAAAATGGAACGTTTTACTGAAAAAATGTACAAAAGACTTATAATGCATCTTGAAAGCTTGCCAAATTTCATAAGATACACAAAACATATTACAAGTTATAATATGGAAACTCTGATGGTTACAAGGTTGGTCACATCAACTGACCCTGAATGGGTCATAACCAAGTAATCTGTACCATAAGAAAACAAAATTTTATCACTTCTTCTTTAGAAGTGTCAGAGAATTGGATAATAGGGTCTAATCATTGGGGTCAGTTTATATTTTCGATGATAATAATGTTTTAAAAAAATCTATTGGTTGAATCACTTTTTGATACTTAGATTGTACATTTTCATAGAACCTTTTGTTTTTCTTAATGCACAATCTCATTTTTAAATGTGTGAATTTATGTTTGTGAAAGAAAACTTATTTTTAGATAAGTTTTTTTCCATTATAAGAATGTTTCTTTACTTGAGAAATATATCCATAATTTTTCTCTCATCTGTGAATCATTTTGAATACCTATTTTTCTGGTTAGAAAACAAGCATACCTGTGGCTTCGGGGTGACATCTGTCAAGCTCACAAGACAAATAACAATAGCAACAGTAAAGTAAAAAAAGATGTGGAGAAAGAAATATTTCTTTCAAACAACAACGTGACAAGTGATGTAGAAGACAAGAAAGCTGAAGAAATCAAAATTTCAAAATCTGCCAGTAAAGGCAATGTGAATGTGAACCGTATCTTCAGTAAACTTCATCTGGAAGAAACTAAGGAACAAAAACCTTTCAAGTCTAAGGAAACTGAAGAGACATGTAAAAACAAGGTAGGTATAAAGCTGTAATAAGTTAGTCCAAGTTTGTTTTTCACATTGATATCACTGAATGTGAATAATAAATTGTGATTGTTAATATGGACAAATAAAATAGTTTAGTTTCTTATTTATGTTTAGTTCAGGGTATTTTTTAAATATATTTTTGAATTTAAAGAATAGAATAAGTTATCTGGAAATTTATAGTTCTCTTTTATTATTGGATAGAATTTTGGATGTAAACACTTCTTTTACGGGAAAATTCTAAATATTTACCCTTGAAATAAAGATATTACAGCATATCAGCTATGGGGAGTGTTGTTTTTTATGTGTGTCACTTAGTTTGTGAACTTTTGAACTTGGAAATATAAGAATGTAATTTCTTCAGATGTTAATTTTTTTTTTATTATTCATAAATAGCACACAAGATAATTGAGAAAACAGATCTTCTAATGTTGAAGATTGTTCAGCTATATTTTTATATTGAGGTTTGGTGTGAAATGTGATATTGATTTGTGAATATTTTTTATAAGGTTCTTGATAAAAATGAAAAAGACCAGGGCAATAATAACACTGGAAAATCCATTACCCAAGGAGATAAGCTCAACCTCATCAAAGTTCAGCGCCATCATCCCCGCTCTGTCACTACTGGAGCTGTTTAGTAAGTGCCATGTATGCGTCTCATTTATGTAAGGGTAATTTTCTTGCGTGATTTGTTTGATTATGAATTCTGCCAATAAGATTTTAAGTGTAACAACAAGTAATGATTTACTTTAGCTTAGAAGAACTAAGATATCACAGACGTACAAACTCTCAGCCCTTTAAGCCACTCCTATCAGAAACAGTCGCAGCTCAGCCCACTTGCATGTCACCATTGAAGTCCTTAAGAGTAGCTACTGGTCATCAAGGAAACAGACGTAATTCCAGTGTGAACAATGATGAAGTCGTTAATACCTTTACGTTTTGTCACTATGCTCACCACATTTCTCCCTCTGGATCGCATGGAAAAAGGTAATTTCTTGTGATTTTAGCTCTTAGTGTTGTAGATGCGGAAATGCAAATTCGTGTGAATGTATGTATATTTATGTTTTTATAAAAACTGTGTTATGAAATTTATTTGCTAAATTCTTCTCATATCTTAACTGCCATCTTAATGGAAATCAGTACTAACCACAAGTAGCTGTAATTTTATCCAGTCTGAATTAGTGGTTAAAATATTGAGCTAACATTATAAACAGTAAAAGTAAGTACAGCTGGGCAAGTAATTTGATATAATTTATTACCTATGAGCATAAATTGAAATTAGTTTTAGGTAAAATAATTAATTTATTAAAATTATAGCATTAATTGAAATTAATGTTTGTTTTTCTACTGTTTTTTGATTATTCCAATTATCCAAGTAATGAAAAGTAGTGTTTCTAATTATTACAACTATTCAGCTTTTACTTGAGAAAAATTGATTAGTTGAATGTATCAATAAAGGAATCTGTAATCAATTAGCAACTTCCACCAATTCTCCAGTTCTAGAAATAAGACAGTTCAATAGTTTTTATATCAACTGGAAACGTTGCGAGAAATACATAAGTGCAGAGACCCCTTTTCGAGCAAAAAAGAGTGCCTGTCTTTTGATAGTTTCTACTTGAAAAACGTAAAGGGTCTATCATCTGATAGTTTCAACATGAACTTTAGGTCTGATCACAGAAATCTATTACAAGTAGTAGAATAAAGACTTTTAATTTTGGGTGTTTTTTACCCTCTTTGTCTGAAACAATTATCATAAATCACTCATCATTCAAAATTTAGCATTGCAACAGACACTAGTACCTGTACCAGTTGACTAAAGCATTTTATTGCAGTACCACATTCCAGTATTTATCAAAAATAAATAAGAATTGTACAGGTATTTCACTTAGAATACTAAAATAATGTATTTTAGGCACTATATACAATAGTTTTGTTTATCAATTTATATGAAAAAAGTTTGAAACACTTCTTTTTTTTTGAAATTCTTTCCGTATTAGCTGTGAAATATGTTTCTCGCTTTTCTTTTTTTTTTTTTTAGTTTGCTTATGGGTCTAGGCATTAAATCTTGGAATACTAGAACATAAAACTACATTCCAAAGTGAATAATGTGTATTTTAGCAATTTGTAACATTTGTAGAAACAGATATGATTTTTTCTTTTTTCTGCACTCCTACATTTTGAATATGCTGGCCATATATCTTGTTTTATCACGTGGTAGTTTCACGTGATAAAACAAGATATAACAGAACTTGAAAGTGACATGTTTCACGTGGGTTTCACGTGGTACTACGTGATAAAACAAGATATAACAGAACTTGAAAGTGACATGTTTCACGTGATAAAACAAGATATAACAGAACTTTAAAGTGACATATGTCACTTTCAAGTTCTGTTTGCAAGTAATGTAACAATATAAACATCCACTCAGTGTAAATGGCAGTTGGCATTTTATGCCGTGCACAATAAGTCGGGGCTTTGATACAATACAAATGATTTGCCACAACTTGGGTCCATCAAAGAATTTTTAATTCATTTTACAATCTTCAGAATTTTTATAAGGTGTGTGTGCTAGTGTTTTACTAGTATGTGATACATTAGTGTTATTGTGTCTGTGCTAGTGTTTTACTGGGATGTCATACATTAGTGTTATTGTGTCTGTGCTAGTGTTTTACTAGTATGTCATACATTAGTGTTATTGTGTGTGTGCTAGTGTTTTACTAGGATGTCATACATTAGTGTTATTGTATCTGTGCTAGTGTTTTACTAGTATGTGATACATTAGTGTTATGGTGTCTGTGCTAGTGTTTTACTAGCATGTCATACATTAGTGTTATGGTGTCTGTGCTAGTGTTTTACTAGTATGTCATACATTAGTGTTATTGTGTCTGTGCTAGTATCTTACTAGTATGTCATACAT